CTCTTCAAAAAAGAAACTTTATTCTGCTTGCCATATATACCATCTTCACAGAAATTCAGATGAACTAATTTTAAACCCTGAAGCTTATTTTTAGAAAATAAGAACTTCTTACCGTCAACAATGGCAACATGATCTATGAAAATGCCAATGCTTTGTCTTCATGGAATAATGTTTCATTCACATGTCAATTCTTAGTCCAATTGGCTACAGGACTTTGAGAATAATGTTTAAAGGATACAACTTAAGCGTTAACTCAGTTCATTTATTCTGATCTATTAATAAATATGATGCTCTTCAATCAAATTGCACAATTCATATCGAGTTGAGGACTTGCACTCTCTATTTGGGAAGTGGATCTATAAGAGAGTGCAAGTCCACTTAACATTGTTTCTGTCTCACTTGATATTTGAACCTAGCATCCACTTATCACTGGTGGAGGGTATCCCATGGTGATATTTGTCCCATTCCCCACAACCCCCTTCCCCACCACCAACATCCAATTAAGGTCTCTCAAAAATTGCACAGTTGCTAACTAAATACCAGCTGCTTTATGCTAGAAGAAATCAACAAGATGTGAACCTCTTTGCTGCTTTACATGCAGCTGTTGCTGAATTAGACTTGAGAGAACACAGGATATCTTGCTGCTGGAATGCTGGAATTTTTTTTTTTTTTATGTGGTTTGACCGGTTAACTAGTTCCAAACATGCAAGCTGACAACTTTAAAAAATTATCTTTTGTTGACACCTTCCATAGCTATCGAAGGTTAGTTTCATTACAAAAATTATCTTTTTTTGACACCCCTTCCATAGCTATTTGATTCTGGTTCTTACAAATCCTGCTGCAGTTCCTTTTTTTATGGATGATGTCTGATGGATTCCTTTGGCAGTGTTTATTTTATCCAATTTTCTATCCTTTTTATAGTTAGCTCAATCTATGACATATTTTAAGGACAAGCTATTTCCACATTGGGAGTCTCAGTGGAGGGAGGCTATATGTGGATAAATTTGTTACTTTTTCTTTGCACCTTTGCTGGGTGATTCACATCATGTTACTTTTGTAACGATGAAAGAGTACAGTGAGGAAGCTTTTATGTAAATTCTGGATTAACAACTCCCTTTCCCCTCTTGCCGAGATTGACTTTTTCCAAGAAAATTCTAGTTGGTTTTCGAATGTTTTATATTCATCGTATTGATATTCAGTAGTTGTAAATATCATTTTGAGAAGAACAATATATGTGATGGGTTTTTTGGTTATGGCACAAATTTGTTTTGAAAAGTGTGCTATCAACATCTTACACTCTCTTACGCCTGCAGGTCAAATGATGATAAGCTATGGGCCATAACAATCAAGGGCAGTGCCTTTCTATGGCATCAAGTGCGTTGCATGGTCTCCATTTTATTTATGATTGGAGAAGGACTTGAGTCCCCAAATGTGCGTATCATATATTTTTTTACTTGATACTGAATTATTATCACTAATGCATTGCCTGGAAAGAGGGTAGTTCCAATTTTCTTTATAGTAAATGGATTTTGGATTATGCATAACATGAAGGTTGCTCACCGATATGGTTGACTAGCATTGACTACCTATACTCTTGTAGTTAATCTAGATTAACTGGGATGGAAATATTGGATTATGTCTTTCTATATATTGGTTGGTTGGCATTATCTTTTGGATTCAAACTTTTTGTTTCCATTTATAAGTAATATAGGTTTTCATTCACCACACCTAAGCTCACTTGCACCCAACCCCTTCTCTTGCAAACCCCCCTTCCAAGTTTCCCTTGCGCTACCTTAGGCCCATACGTCATTAACCCTCATCTTCCTTCTCTCTCAGTCCTACCGGCTCCATAAACCTAGGGATGCTAATAAATGGCACGACATGACATGACAATTCCACATGAACCTGAATAAAAAAATTTGGGTTGGGATTGACTTGATTAACTTTTGGATTGAAAATTTTGATTTGTTTAATTTTTCAGTTGGGTTCAAGTTAACCCTTCAATAATTGGATTTTGTTTGGATTTATCATCATTCTTCCTACCATACACTAAGTTAATGACAATAATTTTTCCTATTTGTTTTAAATAAAAAACAACTTATAGCTATCATTAATTTAGCATTTAATGTCTATTTAATAAAATTTCTTGAAAATTCTTTCATGACAGAGAGGGATGATTAACCTTATGTGCTTGTGCATATGAGAAATTTGGAATTCAATCCTGAAGTCTTTGTCAAATTATTGAGAAATTTCTCAGTAATGCCTTGTCTAAAATCTAATTTCTTTTGAAGGTTTAACCTTGAACGAAACTCTCTTAGAAGAGCTGAGCACAAGTTTTTTGGTACCGATATTATTTAAGAAGTGATTATGGATTGATTTGAAGGTGGTAGGAATTTTGATTTTAGAGAGGTAATTGAATGAGGATTTTCAGATATGGATGAGAATTATGAGGAATCAACTATAAATTCAAAATCATGAGAAAGATAAAGAGGCTTATCTTGAGATGTTTTAAAATTGAATGTAAGGAGGATCGATAGAAAAGATCTTTGTGGCGTTAATTGAAGAGGATGGGTAATGGCTATAGTCAAGGAGGCATGCATAATAAGGACTACGAACTCCATTAGTGTTCATAGAATGATGGAATAGTAATTATCATTGCTATTGTGCAGAATCGAGCATTTTTGTTGTTGTTATTGTAGCATGAGTCGGGTTCAGTGTTAGATTATGGTGCACTTGACGATTGAAGTGGGTTAGGTAATAAGGAAAAAACAACAAAAGGGTAGAAACTTGGGTAACACCTTAGTTAGGGTGTCTTGTATGATTTTGATTAAGTTTTATGGTTTAGGTGATTTGATAATGATTATTGAAAGGTCATGAAAAGATAATATATTTAATTTCATGGTAAATGACTTGGGAACAAAAAAATCAAAAGCACACATCATTGAAAATTTCATGGATTTCTTGAGATCTTCATTATGGAATTATCAACTATCTTGTTGAATTATTGATGATTACTCTTAAAATGTCATAATGCTTGATACTAATGATGCAAAATGATGATGAATTATGCTTGGACATCAATCTTTGAAGTATTAGTTAGTGGGAGAATTACAAAAGCTTTAAGCAATTGACTGAGAAGATGATGTGCGATGTTGGGGTCTAGAGTCTCCTAATATAATTAGAATAATGCAATGAGTATATGACAATGAACATTAGGATTCATCATACAACAACAAAAATCCTTTATCCCACTAAGTGGGGTTTACTATATGAATCCTTCTTTTCAATTGTGTCCTATTGAGTGTCATATTTTCATTTAATTCTAATAGATTAAGTCTATTTTTTATACAATATGCCCAATCTTTTTTTGGTCTACCTCTATCTTTTCTTAACATAAGTTGAATCTAAAGCATCTATTCTCCTAATCGGATCATGAGATGATCGACTTTTAATTTCACCAAATTATCTAAGATGACTCTCTAATCTGGTCCGCCACTGCAGCTACACCAACTCTTTCACGGATAGATTCGTTTCACATTTGTCTCTAAGTGTCAAGCCACTCATCCACCTAAGCAGTATTATCTCAGTAACACTTAGTTTTGTTTTATTCTTCTTGTTTAAAACTCAACATTATGTGCCATAAAGCATTGCAGGTTTCACCACTATCTTATAAAATTTTTCTTCAAGTGGTACTTTTCTATCACACAATAGGCCCAATGTATTTCTCGACTTCAACCAACCAACTTGAATTCTACTAATAACATCCCCATTTATATCACCACCACTTTTAATAATAGACCCGAGATATCTAAAACGTTACACATCTAATGATTTGATACCCATAACTACAGCTCTACCACTAGAGCTATTATTACTAAAACTACATTCCATTTTTTCAGTTTTAGATCAATTCAAACGAAAGCATTGAGACTCCAATGTAGACCTTCATTATTCAAGTTTTTTTCTAAACTCTTTCTTTTGCCTTATCCACTAAAAAGATATCATCAGTGAAAAAAATACACCAAGTTATATCCTCCTGTAAATGTTTAATAAGAGCATCCATAATTAATGCAAAAAAGATATGGGCTTAAAGTCGGTCCTTGATGTAATCCAACTAAAATAAGAAAATAATTGGTCAATCCTCCTTCTGATTGAACAAAAGTAACAACTTTAGTATATATAACAACATTAGTATATAGAACTTTGATGACTTGAATATAAGTCATATCCATATCTTTCCTCTATAGAACTCTCCAAATGACTTCTCTTGGAACCTTATCGTAAGCTTTTTCTAAATCAATTGAAGTCATATGTAGATCCTCCTTACTCTCTCTATACTTCTTCAGCAAACCACTCAATAAATGTATAGCTTCCATGGTAGACTTGCCTGACATAAATCCAAACTGATTATGAGAAATCTTTGTGTCACGTCTTAACCTATGTTCAATTACTCTCTCTCATAATTTTAAAGTACGACACATTAAATCCTCTATAATTTTTACACTCTTGTGCATCCCATTTTATTCTTAAAAATTGTGACCAAAATACTCTTATCCACTCCTCAGACATCTTTTTAGTTTTTAAAATAATATTAAAGAAGTTAGTAAGCTAAGAAATACCCAAATCTCCTAAATATTTTCACACCAAAATTAGGATTCACAGATCAATACCAAGCAGACATTTTGAAGGGTTTTCTTGATTACCTTAAGGCAAAATGGTGTGACAAAGACATGTACTTAGATAATTGGCCTTCTTTTTCTAATGATATTTCTGCCACCATTAATGCCGATTATGTTGAGATTCACTCGAGAGGTTTCCTTCAATGAAATATGGATTGTTATTCATAGCATGGGGAATAATCGAGCACCAGGGTATTGATGATATTACTTCTCTTTTAAAAAATTTTCTCGTCTTTGGTGGAAAAGGAAGTTTGTGCGGCTGTTATGGATTTCTTTACTTGTAACTTTATGCCTTCAAGTTGGAAGGAGACTTAGGTTGTGCTGATTCCTAAGGTTGAAAATGCTAGCTGCCCGGCAAAATTTAGACGCATCAGCATTTGCCAATCTATTTATAAAATTGTGGCTAAGATTTTGGCCAAGCGATTGAAAGACATGCTGCCTACTATCATCTCCCCTGAACAAGGAGCCTTTGTTCCAAAAGGAGCTATTCCTTCTCATTGCTTGCTTGCTCAAGAAGTGTTCAATAAATTTCAGCACTCTACTTCTTTGGCTCGGTTCATGGCGTTGAAAATTGATATGGAACATGCTTACAACAGGATGAGTTAGAATACTTTGGAGAGGGTACTCCATCTCTTTAAATTTCCTAGTAAATTAATCTGCTGGATTATGCATTGCATTAGCAACCCAAAATTTGCTCTCATCATTAATGTCAAGCAAACAGAGTGGATAAAGGCTAGTTGTGGTTTTAGGCAGGGATGCCCCCTTTCGCCGTATTTATTTATATTGTGTTCTGAGTTACTCTTTAAAGCTCTGAAACAACATCAACAAATTGGGATTTCTATTAGTAAAGGTGGAACTCGTATTTCACACCTCCTTTATGCTGAAGATATTTACTTTTTGCAGAAGTTTCTACTTTTATGGCTCTCTGTATCCAAGGAATTTTATCTAATTACTGTGCTTGGACTGGACAAACTATTAATAATGCCAAATCTACCATTATGTTTAGTAGAATCGGTAAATTGGAGGAAAAATTGAATTACTTTTCTTTTGGGTTTCAAAAAGGTGGATGTAATTGATTTTCTGGGACCAGACTTGCTATGTGCAAATTAAGAAAAGAGGATTTTAGTTCTCTTATTCATAATGTTATTTCTAAAGTTCAAGCCTGGGGAAATCGACCTCTTTTTGGCAGGCCGGGTAACTCTTGTTAATTCCTCATTATTAACTATGCCCATGTTTCTTCTCACGCATTCTGATATGCCTATGGGAAATCTTGGCTTGCAATTTTCTATGTGACATCAATACCAGTCGCAAAAGCCTTCACTATATTGCTTGGAGCAAGCTTTGTGTTCCTAAACTTTACGGTGGTCGTCGATTTCATGCTGCGCGGTGGCGTAGTCCACTTAGAACAAGATTTGCTTGGGCTTTTATTAATGAAACTAATGCCTTCCCTTATAATTGTTTGGCTGAATTTTATGGTACAGATATTTAGCAAAGTGGAAGAAGTTGAAATGATTCTTATGCTTGGAATATTATTCGTGATGGGGTTGTAAGCCTTAACTAGATTATTCGATGGGTGGTTGGTAATGGAAGAAGTATTAGTATAATGGATCACATTTGGATCCTAGATTTGCCACTTTCTAAGTGGCCCACCTACATTAATATTAAGGAAGTTGAAAACTGAAAGGTAGAGGACTTGATTTTGGAAGGAAAATAGAACATGCCAGCTATGCAAATATGCTTTGGGCCAAATCTTATTGATACCATTGTTCAGATGCAAAGCATACAGGCTACGCAATCTGATACTGCCAAACTTCTTTCTGTTCTCTCGGGGAAAACTACTACTGCTTTGGCGTTTGAGAAGCAATTTACTGATTTACCCAAAGAAAATACTTAGGTTTCAAAAAGAGAGAGGCTTTCTTCTGGTGGAGAATTCTACGTGATGCAATCCCTTCCAATGACTGGCTTTACCGCAGGCTCATATCGGAGGATATATATTGTCCATGGGGATGCAACGAAATAGAATATTATTCACATATTTCTGCTAAGTGTAAAGTTTTGAAAGAATTTGCTTATTGCTTTTTTCATTGGGGGTTTTATATTCCTAAATTTAATACTTTTGAAGAAGTCGTAGTTGGTTTAAGGCAACTTCCTACGTCGCAAATGGCTACAGGCAGATTGTATTGCTATATTGTTTACCATAGCTGGAGAACTTGAAATGCCAAAAACATAATAAATCTTATGGGACTCCGATTGTGATTGTAGTTTCCATTCTTTTGACACTTACCCAACCTAATACTTTTTACATCACAGAGCAACGAGGTACCTCTCGGCCCTTGGGGCTTTCTTCTCCTGTTTGTTGGCATCTGCCCCCCGCAACCCCCCCCACCTTTCAGGTTGGTTAAAAGTTAATGTGATTGTGCGTGTCTTGCCAATGACCAAGCTGGTGTGGGACTCGTTATCAAAGATTAAGTGGGTAAAGTTTTCATTGCAGCCGGGAAAACATATTACATTGGGATAGCTCTGAAGTGGAGTATGATGCGGTGCTATTTCTTGACGATTTACTTCAGCCTTCAATGTGTGAGATCAAAGGGGTCATCATTGAGGGAGATAATGCCAATGCTATTGCCATTTTTTGGGAGAGCATGAAGATGAAAGTTTGGCAAGCATCGACTTGATGTGGGACTTAAGATAGCTTTTCTTTTGAACTTTCAACATATTCTTTTGATTTTGCTCATAGAAGTTGTAATAAGGCAGCTCATTATTGTTCTAGGCTTGTTTTGGATAGGTCTTCTTTGGGAGGGTCACAATTGTGATCCTGATTTTTTAAGTGTGGTGGTGGAAGACGTCCATCACACTTTTCCTTTTGTTTAGTTTGTTTTGTTTTTTTTTTTTTTGTACTTTTTGATTAATGCAAAATGCACATATTTAATAAATTTTAAAAAAACCAATTCAACATATGAACTTGAACTAGAATTTGAAAAGCAACTGGAATTAACCTTGCTCAGAGAGATCACAGAATAAAATAAATTTGCTCTGGTCAGTTTTTTTATCAATGTTTCTTGAAAGTGTAAATATGTAGAACATCAAAAAAGGGATAAGTGAGAAAATTAGCCACACTGCCTAAGAAGGGGAAGATGGATGACATGCATCATTTCATTTAACATTGAAGAATGGCTTTGCATGGTCCTTTGTACTTGACTTGTTAATAGAATATCCTAAAAGATATGACGGTTAAACTTATCCTACACACCTGCAACTAACTCTATTTCCCCTTGTTAATTAAATTAAAGAGTTTAGAAAAGACAGAATACAATGCTAATTCAACCAAGGCTCCACGTAATCCATGCTTAGTCTTATATAGGTTTGGTGTTACCTGCCTAGACATGATGATTTGATTGTTGACTATAATGCATTGCAATTTTTAAGCAATTTGTTTTTAAACCTCCTTTTAAGCATCATTCAAAATGCTGATTATGTTGCAGATAATTAATGTTTTACTGGATATCCACAAGACTCCCAGAAAACCACAGTACAACATGGCATCCGAGCTTCCCTTAATGCTTCATTGTTGTGAATTTAAAGGTGTCAACCTTATATGCTCGTCAGGTATAGAATCTTTTTAACATCTAGTCTTTTGCTGAATAATGTTTTTTTTTTGTTCCTCTTGGTATGGAGAGGCAAGTGATAATTTTTTTTTCATGGTGGAGTTGTCTTGTTTTCCTATTGGATGAGTTAATTATATGAACTATTGCCGACAGCCGAGTTTGTTCCTCTGTTATTGTCATTATAGAGAATTTACCTTTTAATCGTTTTTATTGTTATAATCATTTGAAGCGACAGAAAGATTTCTACAATTGCATTCCATTCTTCTGCAGAAAGCATAACTAGTGGTTGAAAACAGGCAAAAGTTTTAACAGGTTTAATGAGAGCGTTGGGTAGTACTTAATAGAAAGGATAATGGATGATCGCAGTTGTAGAAATAGGCTCCTTATGTTGACGAGGAAATGATTAATGGTGTTGGGTAGTACTTAATAGAAAGGATAATGGATGATGGCAGTTGTTAGGCTCCTTATGTTGACGAGGAAATGATTAATGGTGCTTAGGTTTAGACAAAAGAAAATGACCAGTTGGAGATCTTTTTTTTTTTTTAAGAATATCACCATTTTTAGAGAAAAAACTTGTTAGGGGAAGATTGAGTTTGATCTCTTGCAAGAGGCTAGAAGCTAGCTAAACTAGAACTGAAATAATTAGTTACCCTAACTAGACTGGATAATAAAGAGGTATTTTTGGAATGAACTCCGATTTAATACTGTAAGAATGACAGTAATTTTGAAGGCTTGAAACTATCTCTTTTGTTTTTGCAGACCTCGATGTAAGAAGAGTAGATGCTTTCGTCAAATATAGGCTACTATTACTATTGATGGATTCTGTAGGTACATGTGAATGGAAAATGAAATGTTGCAAAACATAAGTCATTTAGTTTTGTTTTGAATTTAGTTAAGGAGATCTATGTGGGACAATTTTTTATTGTTTTACTTTTTCTGATCTCTACTGCTTTTTATAAATTTTTGTGATGGGAAGCTTTTTAATAATCAAATCTATTAAGACTGTGGCAGTTATAAAGAAAAAAATAATTTCTTATTTTTTAAAAAAAAAGGTATGTACAATGATCATAATATCTTAAAAAAAGTTGTTTTTCCTACGACTTTTTAATAATCAAATCTATTAAGACTGTGGCAGTAATACAGAAAAAAATAATTTCTTATTTTTTTTTAAAAAAGGTATGTACAATGTTCATAATATCTTAAAAAAAGTTGTTTTTCCTACGACAGTTCTACAACTATTTTTACCAAAAATTGCAGTTGCCCCAAAAGGGAGCCAAAATGTGATGATTATGATGTCTTAATAGCGGTTGAGATTGGTTTCTAATTTAGGATTATTTTTAAATAGGAAATATTGAAGAAGTCTAGGGGTTTATTTTTAAGAATGTTGCAAGAGTTTTAAATAAACCCTAAGTTATTAAATGAATAGAACAAGGTTTTAGAGCATTTATTATTATTATTTTTTTTTTTGGTATCAGAGATAAACCCTAACCCTAGCTGGTGCTACAATGTCGCTACAGTACTACTACTCCTTTCTTCCAGCAGGCCACCACATCAAGAAGAATGAGTTAGGAGGCTTTGGTTTCAATTGCAGGTTGTAGAGAAGATCGAGCCAAAGGAAGGTCATAATCTTGTGTTGTGATGAGCGACATCCAATGAGCGGATAAAGGGAGGTGAGGGAGAGCAAACTGTGATGGCGTGTGACCGAGGAGAAAATAGGGAGGTCGATCGTAAGCAGGACTAGATGCACGCGTGCTAGTATGACAGGCCGAGCACGTAAGCAAGGGTTGTGAGTCAAGACGATGTGAGCAAAGTTAAATTGGAAGTAGGTCGAGCACATGCCGAGCTGAGCATGAGCAAAGCCAAACACGTTAGGCTCAATCGCTTGTGGGCAAGGTTGATGTCGATGGTTTCGCCGAGTTGAGCCGACACTTATTAGAGAACCGACGGTGCACAACCTATAAGAGTACAAGAGAGAAGTGGATCGAGATCAGGTCAAGAAGTGGAAGGAAGTCAGATGAGATTTTTTTTGATCTAGACTTGGATTCTTATGTTTGAGGATGTCAGGAGACGCAGATGTTACTTGAGGTAAAGGATTGGAGCTTTTGGGGAAGATAGATCCTGAAGTTCTGAAGTTCTTGGTCGAACTCATACATGGAGGTAGCGTTTTGATGGGAGCCATTATCTTAACATGTGCTTCGACACAGGTGAAGCCGAATATCTCTCGTGCATCTGAAGCTTGATGGACTGACCACGTATTTGAATTGGTCACATCGGATTAATTTTACTTTTGTAGGGAAGAGACTAGAGGGATATCTAGCAGGGTGTCAAAGAGTGACAGTGCTGAGAGTGATGAGTGGAGAACCACACACGTTTTACTTTACACACGGCTACTCAACTAAATGTTTCCATCGATTGCCTCATTAATAGATGTCATTTAATAGGAGAGGGACATTTGACCAAAGCTAAAGAGGATCAATGTTGGAGCTGAAAGCCACATGAGGGTGTTCCAGATTCAACGTGAGATTGAGGCAGTGGTACAGAGCAATAGATCGATTCAGGAGTACTCTACACATCTGGAGCGGTTGTGGGCAGATCTTGATCTCTTCCCATTGATGTCGAGCTATGGTGATTTGGGGTGCAAGAAGGAAGAGATTTTTGCAGTTTCTGGCTCATCTGAGCCTGACTTTTGATCAAAGGAGATTGATCCTCCTAGCCCAGGCGATGATCTTTTTTTGGATGAGGTCATCACTACGATGATACTAGAGGAGAATCGCATGAGGCTATAACCTGAGTCGAGTGTATTTTCATGCACGCGATCAGCTTTTGCTGCCTCGAGCTTGGGCATACATGTGTTCAGGGGGAGACTCACAAGTGCTTCAACCGCGGTAGAGTAGGACATCTGAGCAAGGTCTGAGAGAGGTGGACGTTGATAGTTTGGAGGCAATGGATGTGGTCGTGGTGGTCGAAGAGGTGGAAGAGGGGCCTACTGGGTAAATCTGATGGTAGTTGAGGACAAGGGAGAAATAAGTGTAGTCTTTACTGATGAGAATCATTAGTTTCTGGAGATGTTGAAGGGGAAGTAGAAATCAGCAGGTGATGGGGCCGAGAATGCATCTACCTTATTGTCATCAAGGAGTAACATTGCTACTAATGCTCACTCTGACAAAGATACTCATGATACCCATGCTTTTGCTGCTATTTTCACTACAAGATCACCAGAATGGATAGTGGATTCTGATGCATCTCGACACGTGACAGATACTGATAGAAAGTATTCTTGCTATAGTCACCTAACAATTCTAGAAAGCATCTAGGCTGTTGATGGTACAACATAGCCTATAGTGGGTAGGGTACAGTGATGTCTATCAATTGTATGACTTTGTCCAATATTTTGCATGTTTTTTTCTTTTCAAAGAAATTTTAATCCTTTCGTGTAATTATTCTCTAAGTCAAATGTGTTGTTTCATTTGATACTTCTAAGTTGATCTTTTAAGAGAAAGTGGCGAGCTAAATTCTTAGGACTGGAATTCGACATAGTGGACTTTGTTACTTGGATAGATAGATGATGGACTCGACTTTGACATCTTTGGTAGATAGTGCTGAAGTAAGGGGATCTAGGAGGAGTGTGGATTATGTGTTGTTGCTACATCACAGACTCACGACACACTTGTTTTATTTTATTGAGTCGTTTGTATTCTTCGTTTTATAATATTTTATTTTATTGAGTCGTTTGTATTCTTCGTTTTATTAAATGATAAATCAACAAAAAACTTTTTTGTGATGCTTGTGAGTTTGGTAAGCTTACTAGAAGCTCTTCTATCAGTTCTGGGAATAGGAGTTGTGGTTTTGATTTAATACATTCTGATTTTTGGGGATGTCGTTTTATGAGTTTGATGAATGGTTATCTATTTTTTGTGAATTTTATTGATTGTTTTTCTTGTGTTATTTGGTTGTCTTTGATGAAATGTAAGTGATCTGTTTGCTTGGTTTAGACTTTTGTCAGGCAATCCAAACTCAATATGGTGCATTAGTGAAGATATTGGGGTCTCATAATGGGACTAAATATAACAAAGACGCGTTTGGCGAATAAGCCAAGGGATACAATTCCAAACGACATGTCAATACACACTAGTACAAAATGAAATAGCGGAGAGGAAGAATAAACACCTTCTAGATGTAGCTTGAAGCATGATGATTGGGATGATTGTCCCAAAGCACTTCTGGGGCAAACAGTTTTGACAGATGCTCAATTGATCAATAGAGTTCCCTTGAGTGTTAAATTGAAAGTCTCATTGTTAGATGTTGAAAAGAGATAATAGTGGGTCTTTACCTGATGGTAGCTAAGGACAAGGGAGAGACAAGTGTGGTCTTTACTGATGAGAATCTTGAGTTTATGGAGATGTTGAAGGGGAAGTAGAAAGCAGCAGGTGATGGGGCCGAGAATGCATCCACTTCATTGTCATCAAGGGGTAACATTGCTACTTATGCTCACTCTGACAAAGATACTCATGATAGTCATGCTCTTGCTGCTATTTTCACTACAATATCACCAAAATGGATAGTGGAGTCTGATGCATTTCAACATGTGACAGATACTGCTAGAAAGTATTCTTGCTATACTAACCTAGCGATTCTAGAGAGCATCTAGGCTATTGATGGTACAACATAGCCTATAGTGGGTGGGGTACAGTGATGTGTATTGATTCTATAACTTTGTCCAATGTTTTGCATGCTCAGAGAAATTTTTATCCTTCAGGATCGTTGTTCTGTAAGTCAAATGTGTTGTTTCATTTGATACTTCTAAGTTGACCTTTTAAGAGAAAGAGGCGAGCTAAATTCTTAGGACTGGAATTCGACATAGTGGACTCTGTTACTTGGATAGATAGATGATGGAGGCTTTGACATCTATGGTATAGTGCTGAAGTAAGTGGATCTAGTAGGAGTGTGGAGTATTTGTTGTTGCTACATCACAGACTCACGACAAACTTTTGTTTTATTTTATTGAGTTGTTTGTATCTGTCGTTTTATGAAATGGCAAATAAACAAAAAATTTATTTGTGATGCTTGTGTGTTTGGTAAACTTACTAGGAGCTCTTATATTAGTTATGAGAATAGAAGTTGTGGTTTTGATTTGATACATTCTGATTTTTGGGGAAGTTGTTTTATGAGTTTGATGAATAGTTATCGATATTTTGTGAATTTTATTGATTATTTTCTTGTGTTTTTTTGTTGTATTTGATGAAATGTAAGTGTGATGTGCTTGCTTTAAAGACTTTTGTCAGGCAATCCAGACTCAATATGGTGCATTAGTGAAGATATTGGGGTCTCATAATGAGACTAAACATGCCAACAAAGTGTTTGGGGGGAATACTTATTAGCCCAAGGGATACAAATCCAAATCACATGTCAATACACACCAACACAAAGCGAAATAGCGGAGAGGAAGAGTAGACACCTTTTATATGTAGCCCGATGCATGATAATTGGGATGATTGTCCCAAAGCACTTCTGGGGCAAACAATTTTGAGAGATTCTCAATTGATCGATAGAATGTCATTGAGTGTTAGATTGAAAGTCTCATTGTCAGATGTTGAAAAGAGATAATAGTGGGATTCTCCTATTGAACGTATTTGGCTGTGTATGTTTTGTGAAGACAGCAGGTCATCAGTAGGGAAACTGAATTCTAGAGCTATTGTCAGATGTTGAAAAGAGATAATAGTGGGATTCTTTTATTGACGTATTTGGCTGTGTATGTTTTGTGAAGACAACAGGTCATCAGTAGGGAAACTGAATCCTAGAGCTGTGATGTATGTTTTCGTGGATTATTTTGCTACTCAGAAGGAGTATGTATGTTGGAGACTGATAGAAAGAAGACTGTTTGAGCATAAATGTGTTCTTTAGAGAATTCAATTGTACTACACCTTGGAGGTGACCCCACTCTTTAGTGACTCCCCATATATTGGAGGTATGAAACAATAGCGGGCGAGGAGTATTGGTGAGAGATTGATATATGTGGGAGCGATGTCTTGTTCTGTGATGTGGGATGAATCGGCTGAAGCACTAGAAAATGAGGAGATTGAACCCAGATGGAACAGTGCCTGCAGTGCCACTCGTGACAACAAGTCCTTTGTCACGATCTACCCCGACCCTTGAGACACCTACACCTTCCGCCTTAGACTCATAATTCATTTGTGATATGATTAATCTTCCTACTTCCAACCCAGTAACTTTGAAAAGGAACTCTTATAGTAATATGTGATATCCTCCAGCTTTTCATACTCTAACATATCACATGTAGATAGAGCATTCATCACATCTTGGGACACTGTTTTTATACCCAAATGTTGGCAGATAGCTAAGAAGGATCTCATGTGGAAAGCAACAATGTATGAAGTGCTTGGGGCTCTTACTAAAAACCATACATGGGAGATAGTGCTACTGCGAGCGGGGAAAAGAGTATTAGGTGCAAATGGATCTTCACAAAGAAACAAAATTCAGAAGGGAAGGTGGAGTGTTATAAAGCACGATTGGTGGCGAAAGGGTACCGTAAGACGTATGACATTGATTATGATGAAACATTTGTACCAGTAGCGAAGATGAGTTTACTGAGGACATTGGTTTCTCTGGCAGTGAATAGTGGGTAATGTTACATCAACTCAATGTAAAGAATGTTTATCTTCATTGTGAGTTACTGGAGGTGTATATGGAGGTGCCACCAAGTTTCGGTATAGGTCAGATAATGGACAAGGCGTGCGGGCTCAGGAAGTCACTTTATGACTTGAAATAGTCTTCTTGAGCCTGGTTTGACAAGTTAGAAAGGCTATGGTTGGCATAGGATATCAACAGATCAATGTCGGCTAGACGGTATTCTTTCGGCAACATGGAGGTCACACCACTATGTTTGTTGTATTTGTTGATGACATAATTGTCATTAGTGATAATCAGACAGAGATTGCTCGGCTAAAAGTATGATTGGACAAAGAAATTGTGGTGAAAAACTTTGCATAGTTCAAATAATTTCTTGGGATTGAGGTGTCCGTGGAATAGAGGGGATGCTCTTGTCTTAGAGTAAGTATTTACTAGATCTCCCCACAGAAATGAGCATGCTGTGATGCATGTTTATAGTCTCTCCAATTGATCAGAAGGCCAAGCTGAGTGTAGAGGCATGAGAGTTAAGTTGATCATGAGGGTTACCAAAGTGGTGGTCATTTGATCTATTTGTATCACACTCGTCCCCAACATTTCATTTGCAGTGAGCTTGGTGAGCTGCTACATGCATGATCCAAGGAAGTGTTATTTGAAAATAGTGTATCAAGTTCTAAGATACCTGAAGAGTGCAGCTGTGAAGGTGTTGATCTTCAGGATGAATGGGTATGTAGGCATTGAGGACTATTGTGACTCTGACTGGGCTAATTGTGCCGATAACAAGAGGTCAACATCAGAATATTGCATGTTTGTAGGGGGAAACTTAGTCTCTTTGATAAGCAAGAAACGGTCAGTAGGAGCGAGGATAACAACAAAGGCAGAGTATAGGGTTATGGCCTTAGGAGTTGTCTAGATGATGTGAGCAGAGTATAGGGTTATGGCCTTAGGAGTTGTCTAGGTGATGTGATTGAGAGCCTTGTTGGTAGAGCTAAGGTGGACCAATGAGCTCAAATGAGGTTGTGGTGTAACAACAAGTTAGCAATCAGCATTGCCAACAACTCGGTACAACACGATAGAACCAAACATGTGGAGATTGATAGGATCTTTATCAAGGAAAATCTGAATAACGGACTACTGAAGCTAAGTCATCTAGTCATCGGAGAGCAAGTGGTTGAGTGTCTCACCAAAGGACATAGCTCATTAGATTTGTCTAGGCCATGTGACATGATAGGTTTAATGAATATCTTTTGCACATCTTGAAGGGGAGTGCTAAGATGTGTATCTAGTTTAGGGTTCTATTGTAAATAGGAAATATTGAAGAATTCTAGGGGTTTATTTGTAAGAATGTTGTCAAGGTTCTATATAAGCCCAAGTCATTAATGTATAGAACTAGTTTTTAGAGAAATTATTTTTTTTTGTGGCAATTTAGTTAAAGGGTTTGAACTATGTATAGAACTAGTTTTTAGAGAAATTATTTTTTTTTTTTGTGGCAATTTAATTAAAGGGTTTGAACTATCTACGAGATAATAGGATCTTCAGCTGCTTATTGTTGTCATTGTTGACACTGATGATTGTCAATGTTAAGATGCAACCTATTATTTTTCATAATGCGCCATGATTTGTTTTAATATAATTAGCTAGAACGGGCATTCATTTGCTAGGCTATATTATACTTAGTACTTTCATACTGATGAACGTCAGTCTACAATAGCATGCAATCTCAAGGCCCCTAATTTTCTACCAAGGAGCTAATTGTTAACGGTTCCTCGAATTTAATTGCTTTTGTGTTTCTGCAATTTCTATGCAGTAGTTCATCTATTTTGAAGATTATATCCTCTTGGCCCATGCACATCTTGCATTTCTATATGCCGAATAATTATTTTTTCGGATTCTGGAACACTTTTCTGAATTATACTTTTTTGTAACAAAACAATTATTTTAGCAGATGCCAGACGAAATTTGCAGGAACATTTCACCAATGAATTAAAAACTCATCTTCTTCAAGCTGCCATAATAGAAGAGGCGCTCCATTGCTTGCAGACTACAGGTTCCGTATTCACCTGATAATAAAAGCCCCTTTCTAACTCTTTTTATTATTGTGGTTCATGCTTATGTTCTCCACGTAGGTGTTGAAGAAACTACAATGGTACATTGTAAGAAGAAAAAGGGGCACATTTCTCTTATGCTGAGACCAACAGAACGTAAGCCTAACTAATTTAAAAAAAAAATCTTAATGTGCACTATGCTTCCATCTGATTATGCTTGATATGTTCATCTGTTAAGAATGGATAATGTTAATGTGCTGAACTACATGCACTAATGCGGTTGAAACATAGATCCTAGTTGTTTTATGCGCTTTAATGCATGTTTTCAATAGAAAGCATAGTTGTAATTGGTGAGAAATCGAATTAAAAAGTTGAAAGTGAGAATAATAGAAAAAAAAATTGATGATAAAAGCTTTGGAATTTATACAATATGCTGAAAATAAAATAATTTAAAATAAACTTTTCGAGGGTTAGAAAATGTGTTTGTGTTGAGATTTGTATCTAATATAGGATTAGGGTTTTATTTGTAAATAGAAGTCTAGGGATTTATATGTAAATGTTGTAAGGCTCTATATAGCCAAGTGTTAATAAAATGAGAATATTTTTCAAAGCAATTAATTCTTTATAGTATCAGAGCCCAAACCCTAGTTGTTGCTACAGTGTGTTGTGCGTGGGTTACGACTTATCAGTTCGAGCATGGAGGAGCGACACTGTGCGAGGCTGTGCAGAAGAAAGCATCGTGCAAAAGACATTGAAGGAATAGTGGAGTAGCAAGGAAACAACGACTCTGTGGAGAGGTTTCAGATGCAAGGATCATGTGGGTTTGCCTGTCGGGTTGATCGCCGGAGTAATCGACTCTGTGGTGAGGATTTAGATGCAAGGATCCTGTTGTTCTGAGTGTGGGATTGATCGCGGAAGGAAGTAGATGGCTGAACGGCTCCTTCTGATCGTGAAAGGGAGAAAAAGGTGTGCAGGATTTTGCAAGGTCGCGACAGGGCTTACAGGTAGGAGTGGTGTGGAGGATCTTTTTGGTTCTTAGAAAATGAAAGGCGGTGTAGGTGTCGCTTGAATAGGGGAAAAAGGCGTTTGATTTTGTGTGGGAGAGCAGTCGAAGGCTTTACTGCTTAAAATAGCTTTGGAAGAAATATTTGTGT